TGAATGTATCAACCAAATGTAACAATGACGTGTCTTTACTGAGTTTGGTCATAAACTGAGATTCATAGCAATACAGGAATAAATCTGCTATTAAAGGGGCGCAGTTAGTGCCCATAGGAATGCCTACTACTTGTCGATACACTTTATCGCCGAAACGTACATATATGTTGTCCAGGAGAAAATTTGAATCATATCTTCACATTTCCAGTAAGTGTATCTAGCATACTTTCCTTTTTCGTTACAGAAAAAGGCTTTAAACGAGTTACAGCAAATAAATTTGTAATGAGATTTTTCAAAAGACCATTTATATAAATATGAAAACTTTTTCTTGATAAGATTGTGTGGAAGTGTAGTATAGAGAGTAGAAAAATCATAACTGTCAACAGAATTAAAAGGACCATCAAAAGCATGTATTTTATCTAAAACCTCTAAAGAATTTTTAACACTCCAAAAATAATTAACACCATTATTTTCATAAGCTTTATTACAAAAGTTAATAACAAGTTCTTTGACAGTAGCAAAGGAAGTAGTTAGAAGCACTGATAGATTGGTAGTAGAACACTTACTAGTTGCGGAGATGAAACGGAATTTAAATGTTTTTTTGTGCAGTTTAGGTAACCAGTACATAGTAGGGACTTTCAAATGTTCGGAAAAGGCTTTAAGCTGGGTAGTAGCAGTGATATGCTTGTTTACAATTTGACTTTCTGTGGAGCGTACGGACCTGAATGTAGATGAATTTGAAATTTCGTTTTGAAGAACTTCCGTGTAGTATATGCGTCACACCACTACATTGTTTGCTGCTTTGTCTGCCGGTACGGACACAACCCGCTTTGCGAGTACTAGGAGGTTATTTTTTATTCTAGAAATGGGAATATCATGGATCCTATTACTAATTTCAGAATTGTTTTCAAAATGAGATATACGAATATTAACAGTATTCATAATTTTATTCAAATAACTGTCTAGAGATTTTTTTATCAGATTTTTCACGTTTACACCAATTTTTACAGTAGACAGACAGAGCGTCTTTAAAACAACTGGTTCAATAACTATCCCCACAGAGCTAATTAGAGATATAGGTCTGAAATTATAAAGCAAACATGAGTCCCCATTTTCTGAAATAGCTAAAACATTTGCAATTTTCCAGCTGGTTGTAAATACATATTGACTAACAGACTTGTTGAATATAACTTGAAGAGGTATTGCAAGTTTATCTGAACAGATCTTGAACATCCTGTTGTTAATCATATCTGGTCCCGGGGCTTTTTTTTGGATCAAGAATATTAATTAAAAGCCTTTTTCGTAATCGATCTTTAGTGCGTATTTCTCTTTTAATATATATAAAAAAGAAGATGTGGTATGATTGCCAATTAGACAACGCTTCACAAGAGACCAAATGACACAGAAATTAACAACTATAGGTCACCGTACCACCTTCAACAACTAGCAAAGCCCATACCGCATAGTCAGCTATAAAAGGCCCCGAAATGACAAAATGTAAAACAATTCAAACGAGAAAACTAACGGCCAAATTAATGTACAAAAAATGAACGAAAAACAAATATGTAACACAGCAACAAACGACAACCACTAAATTACAGGCTACTGACTTGGGGCAGGCACGTATATACAGAATGTGGCGGGTTTAAACATGTTAGCGAGATCACAACCCTCCCCTAACGTAAGATTGTTATTGAACCACGGTTTGTCGTTTTTTGGTATAATAACTTGCTTAGTAGGTATGCATCCCTTTCAATGTTAAAAACGTTGCAGTAAATATTTCGCATACATCATTAATATCCTTGTCATCGAGGAGAAGTGCACTCCAATCCATAATTTAAAAAAAAATATCTTTATCTATCTTATAATATATCTACACTTCACTATTGAAAGGACCTGACATTGCTAATGGACACTCAAGAAATATTACTGCTGCTTCGAGATCACTAATCTGTGGGAAATATTTGAAACATCAGATAAATAGTATGACATAAATTCACTTTTAATTATAGGATCTAAGAGTGTACTACCTTTACTAGCAACTCTTGTTGTTTTATCAATTCCATTTCTTAAATTGAACACATCAATAAGTTTATTACTGTTGACATTGAAAAGATCAGAATTCAGATCAGTATATTTTCGTTTATTTGAAGAAAAAAAAACAGCTTCTATTGTATGATTTAATCGTGTCCAGAAATCACTGTCTGCATTCGGTTTACGATATGAGTGACAAAGAAGGAAGTTTTAACCTTTGGCTCGTATTTCAACCCAAAGTGTTCCATCCAGGTGTAATACCACCATTGTTTTCCTTTTAAGTCTTTGTTAAATTTGCAATTTTCAAAAACATTGTGCAGAATTTACCTTTGTTTCAAATTAAGGAAATACTTGGCATGGGTAAAGTTTTATCCTGTTCAGTAGTACAGACAAAAGTTCACATAACATTTCATTTCATATAAAATAATAACCATCACTGGAAGTTACTTAGTAACCAGTCAAATGTCCACCCCTTTCTTTTCTGTTTACAAGCTTTAGTAACCATGTAACCAAGCATGAAAATACGGATTTTGTGTTATCAAAATTTGCTGTTACAAAATTTTGGAAATTATTTAAAACTAAGGAATGTATTTCCCTCATGCAAAGCTCTGATTCTTTGCCTAGCTTTGGCTATATTTTTTTGTCCTTTTTGGTTTATAGATCTTCATATTTTTAATAAGCTTTGGATTTTCAAATATTTTGGTCTCGAGCATCACTGAAGAGACATTGATTGTCGAAATGCGCATCTGTTGAAGAAAAAAAATGTTACCGTTTATGTTATTATAGAAACACCAAATAAAAAAAGGAATGGTGCTTTGAAACACCCAAGATATCGTATGCAACCGGATGTGAGGTACTATGATTTGGTGGTATTACACCTAAAGAAGACTTTTTTGTTGTATAAACTGAATGGGATTTTGTTTCTTTGTAATACTGGTTATTTCAAGTATTATTGTCAAGTTTTCTCATAATCAGTTCAGCTAGCTTTAAAACCAGGTTCAATCCACCATTTTCTACATAAGGAAATGCATGTACCAAGTCAGGAATATGACAGTTGTTATCCATTCGTTTGATGTGTTTGAACTTTTGATTTTGCCATTTGATTGGGGACTTTCCTTTTTTAATTTTCCTCGGAGTTCGGTATTTTTGTGATTTTACTTTTTTCAATAGTTTGAGAAAAATTTAGTATAATGTAAGATGACATCTACAGCGATTCCAGCAAAAAATTCTTCTTAGTGTGGACCAATAAATGATCAAATATTTATATCATCTGCCTTAAAACAGTTGAATATGATACAAAAGATGACTCTAGAATGATAAATACCACTAATGGACCTCTTTCTTTGTCTTCATTATAGGGTCTCTTTTGGTCCAATTACACCTCTCATTTCCTCAAAATTTCAACTCTTTAGGTCAATAAATCAAAATTTTGGTGTAACTTTCACACATCTATGCAAGAAATGTGATAATAAATGAGTAATGGAAGTATTCAAGCCGAATAAACTATAGTTGTTAATTTCTGTGTCATTTGGTCTCTTGTGAAGAGTTGTCAAAACATTTTCTATATTTTATCATCGGTACAAGGACATCATTTATTTCGTAAATATAAATCAACATGCAGACATTTTATACGTTCAGGTATTTCACATCCAATCTTTGATGGTAATATTCTTTACAAAGCACAAAAATGTCGCCATTTACCTCAAAAGCTAAGAAAACATTTAAACGGACTCATTCAGAAGGGATATGGTTACGATACTGTTATCAGGTCATTAAAGATGGCATATTTTGGTATTAATATTGATTCACCCACAGGGTCTTTGCATCGGAAATAAACACATTTGTTCTAAAACCAGTTGTTGACATGATACGCGTTATGTTCTTCTCATATATTTTATGATGATATGATACTAAACCCCTAACGGGAGGGATTGTGTTTGATTTTCATATAATGAAGACATAATTTTTCAACCAGTTTAATTGAGGTCTGGAGCTGGCATGTCAGTAACTGCTAGTAGTCCTTTGTTCATTTATGTATCATTGTCATTTTGCTTAGTTTCTTTTGTTACCTATTCTGACACCGGACTCGGACTTCTTTTAAACTGAGTTCAACTGTGCGTATTGCTGTGTGTTTGTTTATTCTACATTGGCTAGAGGTATAAGGGGAGGGTTGAGATCTTACAAAACATGTTTAACCCCGCCGCATTTTTGCGCCTGTCCCAAGTCAGGAGCCTCTGACCTTTGTTAGTCTTGTATGTTTTTTTTAATTTTAGTTCATTTATATGTTTTGGAGTTTAGTATGACGTCCATCTTCATTGAACTAGTACACATTTTTATTTAGGGGCCAGCTGAAGACCGCCTCCGGATGCGGGATTTTCTCGCTGTGTTGAAGACCCAGTGGTGGCCTTCGGCTGTTTTCTGCTCTTTGGTCGGGTTGTTGTCTCTTTGATATATTCCCCATTTCCATTCTCAATTTTATCTCATTTGCAATCACACCACGTCTTCTTTTTTATATCCATATCAAAGTTTACTGACTCCATGAAAGTTTCAATAAGTCCGTACGTAAAACATAAATTTACGCCGCGCCCCAGAGAGGGGTAATAAGATGCCTCCCTTTTAGTGAATAATTTGTTGTTACTGCTTCAAAAACAATTTCATTTACTTATAACTGTATATGTATTAAAGCATTACTTAGGAAAAGGATTTCTATTATAGCAAAATTTATAAGAAGTAAGGAGAAAAAGTCAGAAAAAGCTCCCCAAAACACGAGTATGGCTTGAAAAGCATAATGTTTGTATAGTATGTCTTTCAAAATGGCAAACCAAAAAATTATATCTACATTAGAATGACATTGTCATTTTCAAGCCACATGACATACATTGTAGCGGATTCGGGGAATTGTGCATGCTATTTTTTTGATGTTTTATAAATGGAAAGTTATGTTGATATAACATGCTAATGCTAACCATCATAGCGGTTGAAACATTTGATTCCTACGTCTTCTCCATGCCCACAGTTGTGCACACCCCATCCTTTATTTGGACAATCAGCAAATGTGGGTTCGTTTCCCTCACATCCCACATCATCAAGCCAAATGTTACCAGTACCATCATCTACAATGGAGTCCAAGGAAATTCCATCGCTGTAAAAATGCAAATATTGCTTTTATCATGACTTGGATAAACGCTCCGGGATAAGTTTGCTAATATGGAAAATGCCTTTATGGAATTCGGTTTAATCATTTGTTCATTGTTTATTATGACCTACATGTTAAACAAAACTCAAATGCTCATATGTCTGCTTTTTGACATATTAAGCTCAGTTATTCGTGTCAGTTATGTAAAAAGTAAAATAACAAAAATACAGAACTCCAAGGGAAATTCAAAATCAAAAGCTCAAACACATCCAGCGAATGGAAAACAACTGTCATATTCCTGACCTGGCACATGCATTTCCTGATGTAGAAAATAGCGGACAAAACCCGGTCCTATATCTAGCTAAACCTTCCAATTGTATGACAGTTGTATTGAATTCCAAAATATTTACAACAATGTGTGACCAAAACAAACAGACATAATAGGTAAAAACGTCAAAAATTAGGGTACTGCAGTCAACATTGTAATATAATCTTAATCATATTAAAAACTGTTTCTACAAAGAAACACAAAATTTCATATAGACAAAGTACATAAGCAGAAATGAAAGACAAGAATTCAAAATTAAACAAAAAGCACAGTAAGACAATGACGGGATGTATAAGTATCAAGCCACGTCATGAGTATAATCAAAACAGAAAAGGTTAAAAATATACAAGGACAAAAAAGGGGAAACATTAACACGTTATTAAAATGATAAACAACGTCAGTACCTAGAATCTATACTTCAAGACCATCATGTATTATTTGTGAAGTTGATACGAAATATATATCAACATAGTCTTCCAATAAATTCGAATGTAATCAAAATATTTCATCGATATTTATTTCATGGAAAATATATGATGAGGCCATTTTTTGGTATTTTGTCGTTCAAATTTTCTTTATTACTTCCAATAATTTTATCATAAACATTAGAATATATGAGCGTAGTCCTTTCCCAAAAATATTTTCCGCTGAAAGATGTCCTCTTAAGATATGCTGTAATGTTTATTACATCGTTATTTATGTTTTTATTGGTAAATGTTACAGACCAGAGAAATATCCTTATATTATAGAAATTCCTTGATTCAAATATTTGCTGGAAAAGTTAATAACGTGGTCGAAGGGTATTCTTTTCCTTATGACAAAATCCTATGTTCAGGGAGATCACTGTAAAGGAAATCAATGTATTCAGCAAGGATTATATAAAAATGAATAAATAAACTTTTCCGAAGGTTATCAATTCAACCCTGTAATTATATTTATGAGCATTGTTTTGATCGGTTTAAATATTGATTTTTTTATCAGTAGATTAAAACCGAACTGAAAATAATTGTTATACACATAGGTACATTCACAGTTCTATAATCTGTCGATATCTATATCTTGGCATTGCACAAGGTCATGTTTTCTCTGACTATTAATGACGTCTTTTCACTAAATCTTTTCAATGTTGGGTGTGAAATAATTGACATTTCAGTCTAAGACACATTATTTTTGATTAGTTGTTTTTGGCTTTGAACTAAATTTCAGTAACTAGAAGTACTCTCAGATATCTACTTTGTGTCTGTTGTGTTTTTGTTATGGGTTTTATGTGCTTTGTATCGATTTTATGAGTTGATATAAAACTAAGGATATGAGGTATGATTGCCAATGAGACAACTATCCACCAAAGTTCAAATAAAGTGGATGTAAGCAAGTATAGGCAACCGTACGGCCTTCAACAATGAGAAAAACCTATATCGTATAGTCGACTATGAAAGACCCCCAACATAAAAAATGTGAAACAATTAAATTGGGAAAACAAACGGCCTAATTTATAACAAAACAATTAACGAAAAACAAATATGACAGACATGAACCAACGACAACCACTGAAATACAGGCTACTGACTAAAGACAGGCACATAAAGAATAAGGCGGGGTTTGAACATGTTTGTGAACGCTTAACCCCCTTCCTAATCTTGTTCAGTTGTGTAACAGCACAACATAAGAACAAACTATTAAAATCAATTGAAAAAGGCTCATCAGATCGATTCAACACAGAAAAAACATCAAACACAAACACAGGCCGGGCGTGGCAGGTTATTTATCCATTCCTCATCCATAACAACAAAAAGGACACTAAGTACAGATTTGAGAGGGCTCACAATAACAACTGATAAAAAATCATGTATCTAATACTAAAATTTCAAGCAGAACACATCCAACATGCAATGGATTTAGTGTAAAGACGTCATTAAACAGTTAGAGAAAAACATGACCTTGTACAATGACAAAATAAAGGATCGACAGATTGTAATACCGTTAAAGCGCATATGTGTATAACAAAACTATTAGAATTATTTTAATTTACTAATAAAAAAGTTAATGTTTATTTCAATAAAAACAATATTCAAAGATCTAATTACAGTGTTGAATTGGTAACCTTTTGGAATAGGTTTATTTTAAGGATTAATAAGTTTACCCGGATCGTATATATATGTCCGGGCTCTGTAAACATCATCACCGTAAAATTCAGGATGTGCTATCCGTCTGAAATGATTTTTTACTGGTACAGCCAAACTTGCAAAGTATCTTTCGAAGAATTTAGTAAAGGTTTTAAGTAATTTGTGGTAACGAAATCCCTGACTTAATAATTTATCAGTAAAGCATAGATAACGCTCATTGAAATCCAAAACGTCACTACAGACACAGATATAACAAATGAATAGGGATATATAAACACCGAAAGATGGTGTCAGAGGAACGTCACCGTCCAAAAAAGGAAAAAGAAAATAATACCTTTTGTAGTAAATTTTTGTGTAGAGTTTCTGGTGTAAAACTGAAATATCTGAATCTCGGAAAGGACACTCATAGATGTTAATACTTCATTTTTTTAAACTAGGTTGCCTATGGTTAATTTCGGCGGTATATTTAGAGAATTCTTGATTATTTAACGAAAAAATATCATCAAGATAACGGTAAGTGTTGTTGAATTTATCAACTAAATGGAATTTAGACGGGACTTTACTGAGTTTGGCCATAAACTGATTCTTAATAGTACAGAAACAAGTATTCTACTAAAGGGGCACAACTAGTGCCAATTGGAATACCTACAATCTGTCGATAAACTTTATTGCCGAAACGATGTTATGGATGTAATCATCTAATCACACCTCCAGTAACTATATTAAGCATATTTACCTTTCTCGTTTGAAAAAAGCGCTGCTTTATATGAGTTGCAGCCAACAAATTTGCAATTAGATTTATCGAACGATCATTCAATTAAGTAGGAAAAATTTTGTTTGATAAGATTGTGTAGAAGTGTAGTGTAAAGAGTGGAAAAGTCAAAACTGTCAACCGAATCAAAAGGACCTTCAAAAGTACGTAATTTAACTAAAACATTCAAAGAATATTTTACACTACAAAAATGATTAATTCCACTATAATTTGCATATGTTTTATTACAAAAATTAATGACCAGTTCTTTGACAGTACTTAAGGAACTCGTTTAACGCACTGAAACTCTAGAAGTAGAACACTTACTAGGGCCGAGATGAAATGATATTTAACTGGTTTTTTTTTTGTTTGTGTAGTTTATGTAACCAATACATAGTGGGGACCTTCAAATGTTCGTTGATGCCTTAAGCTTAGCTGTGGTTGTGACATGATTATTACATATATGACTCTCAGCGGAGCGTACGGCCTTGAATGTTGTTGAATGCATAATTTCACCCTTAAGGACTTCCGTGTAGTATTTACGTCATACCACCACCACACTGTTGGCTGCTTTGTTGGGAAAAACGAAGACAAAACGCTTTGCGAAAACTTGAATTTTATTTTCAATCCTAGAAATGGGCGTTTTACTTATTCTTTTATTTATTTCTAAATTATTTTCGAAATTTGATATCTCATTATTGAAGGCAGTATGATGACCTATAGTTGTTTACTTATTTGTCATTTGGTCTTTGTCGAGAGTTGTTTCATTGCCAATCATACCACAAGAGCAGGTCGATAGAGGGTATGTTAAATTATGATACATTATTAGATACTAATGAAAAGTCATTTTGAACTGGGGACAAACTATCCGTACCAGTGGTACTGATATAATCAGAAATGACAGAGATGAATGTACCAACTGGTGGACATTCTGTACCTGTCAGCACTGTCTGATAGTGAACGCCTGTCCCATCTGGAGGGCCGAGTGTAAGGTTGTATTTAATTTGTACATATCCCTGAATTGTGCGTTGTAGTTTTCATTATGCAAAGTACCGTTGTATATATTTTAATTTGATAGCATTCTGTAAATGTTTCAGATGATTTTATTATTGCGAAAATTGCGAAGAGTTAGGTGTAGCAAAAATAAAACTTGCATTTGAATTTTTATAGCATTATTTGTTTCCAACATTTCCTGAAATCGCAATATTCAAGCTTGTACCAATAGCAATAAGATATGCACAAAATAATTTCTGAATTTACAGTATTAGGTAAATGGATAAATATAGATTTTGGTATCGTCGTGATGTTATAAAATATTTTGATTACAAAGATGAACTAGCCGTAATTGATATACACAGCCCATTAGATAAATGTTATATATTTGATGTCAAGTAGTTCGGAGTTGTGTTGTTATCTATTACTTGCTAGTTGATTGATTCATCATTTTTTAATCTTTTTGTCAGCTGACAACAGTATTAATTCATTTCAAGGATTAAATTTTATCATTAATATGAAAAAAAGTGATAACGCCATGGCAAAAAAACGAAAGAGGACGTTAAGACGAACAAGTCCACAAAACACTACACAGAAAAATATAGACTGAGCAACACGAACCTTCCAATTAACGGGATTGAAATCAGGTGCAGAGTAAGAAGTTCTTTCGGTTCACTTTTTTCGAGTGTAGATCAGATTTTTTCAAGTGATATCAAATGCGACTAGATCAATTTACTGCTATTTCGCAAGTATGATAGTTTTATTCATGACTGTTCATCTTATTCTAAATATTATATATATATTATGCACAAACTACCTTTTAACTTAAAATATCAGCTTTTTACATTGTCTGGGTAATTTCGACAGCAAACTTTTAAACGTCCAGGTTTATTAACAAACGATCCCGAGTTTTGAAAGAAAATGTGAATAAGAAAGAAGGCATTCTTGGTATTCCAAACTGTTTTTTCTACTTTTACAATTATGATTTAGTGAAGAACAATATTATATGTTCCAAATCAGTCACATACCATATTATAATGTTGATCAAATTTAACCGTTTTCACAGGCCACCAACGGACCCCTCAAAGAGATGTTGTAACGTACAGAGAGCGTGTCACTCTCTTCGCGCCCAACTCTGACCGGACGTGACTCAATATTTGTACATCTCGCACAACCAAACGGACGCCCCACTATTGCAACGGTTTTACTGCAGGTCGGAACAGGACGTATATGACAATATTTCTGTTCCCGATACCCCTTGGAGGTGAACAATTTTATAAAGGTTTGTTATAAATCATGTCAGTACTCATGTCAGTACTCCTAAATGATGGGCGCTTTATCAAGCAAGTGACGTTTGGTCAAAAGTGTAGAACAAACCGATAGTCAAAAAGGAGTTATCTATCCAACCTAGAATTCATTTTTTTTCCCATTTCCACCAATAAATTCGAAATTCGCTTTTATTTGTTTATTAATTGTGAAAATCTAAATTATTCAGAATGAATTATATAAGCGCTTAGCTTCTGTTAAAGACTTTTTTATAAGTAAAATAATATTTTTTATGCATTTTTAGATAGGTTTATAAATTATTTTTTTTTCAATAGATGCAAAACCTTAAAATTTCTAATATCTCATGTGAGTTCCAATTTTGTTTAAAGAAATACAACCTCGTCTTAAAATAAATTTTTTTTTGGCAATTAAAAATTATTTAAATCATTTCATACATTTTATTCCTACTTTAGAATGATCATAATCAAAGTGTTTCTTATTTTAAAATTAATTCTCCGCTTTTAAGACAAAATTTATTTTTTAATTCAATTTTCTATGCTTAGATCTGTCTGCCTCTTGTTTTATATTTAATGTTCATTTCATTTCGTATGTCATATTTCGTTTTGTTTCGTTTTGGCAAATTTCGTGTTGTTGTGGTTCGTTCCGTTCCGTTTCGTATTTTAGAGATACCACAAACGTGATAATGATACATATGTTCTCTCTTCGCCCGTTTTTTTTTTTAATTTCCTAATCAAAAATAAAAAAAATCAAACTTTCAAAAAGCGGAATAATCAAAACTGCACGTTGAGTTTAGTATTTTTAAAGTTTAATTAAATATCTAAACTATCAAATTTTAAAACGAATTTTATAATTTGGTGAAATTTTATAAATTTCAAAAAATTTCATAAATTTGGAATATTTGTATTTTAAAACTTGAATTAAAAATAAATAAAAATAAAATTTTAAAACTTTTCAGAATTTTAAATTGTAAAGTGTTACACGGACCGATTAGCCGAGGGTGATACATTCTCTTTTCCAGGTGAAATATTGAGTCTTTAGATGTCAAATCAAAATCTGTACTAAGCAATTATAAATCAAAAGGGATAGACCATAATCGAATTTTTACAAAGTGCAACCCTCAACAAAAATTCAAAGTACTTATCATATACTGTTTACTCTTTTTAAAATGATGTTTATGGTAAACCATTAAATATGATGGTACTTCGCGTTGGATGGATTACGTATAACCTTTTCAGATACATGTATGGTGTAGTGAACATTTGGTCTAATATATAATTGTATGTTCTTTGCCGGGTCATTGAATGGACAAACTGAAGCAACCCTAGGTGATTTACAGGAAGAAACGAGCTCATATTCTCAGACCTTGTAAATACACTAGTAGGACAACAATCAAGTCAAAAGTAAAATAACAAAAATACCGAACTGCGAGGAAAATTCAAAACGGAAAGTCCATAATCAAATGGCAAAATCAAAAGCTCAAACATATCAAACGAATGGATAACAACTGTCATATTCCTAACTTGGTGCAGGCATTTTCTTATGTAGACAATGGTGGATTAAATCTGGTTTTATAGCTAGCTAAACCTCTCACTTGTATGACAGTCGCATTAAATTCTATCAAATTGACAACGATGTGTGAACGAAACAAACAGACATAATAGGTAAAAATGTCAAAAATAAGGGTACAGCAGTCAATATTGTGTTATAATCTCAATCACTATAAAAACAAACAAATATGTCAACAGAGAAACACAAAAAGGCATACAGACATAGCACACCAGCAAAAACGAAAGACAAGAATACAAAAATTCACCATAGCACAACACAATTACGGGATGTATAAATACCGAGCCACGTCAAATGGACATTACCAAATATAGACTAAACAGTAAAAGTAATATTCACAGACAAAGAAAAGAATACTATAAAACGTTATTAAGATGATAAACAAAGTCAGTATCTAGAATCTACACTTATAGACCATCGTGTATTATTTGTAAAGTTGATACGGAATATTTATCAACAAGGTCTTGGTATCTTCCAATGAACTTTTTTAGAAAAAGGACGAGACGTTCTTTGACATACCCCTGGTACAACTTTCTGCTCAGACACTGGTGTCGTTTTACCAAGTCTGAGTAGCAGCTGCAAGCTCTTGAATACCGAATAAAGTGGGAAATGCATATGCAGGTGAAGTTGGTATATTGCTACTAAGGTGGGGGAAATTGATAATTTGAAAATTAAAATCGTATCGTTTGTCATATATTCTGGTACTGAGATGACCGCTTATGTCAAATTCGAGGTATAAGTCTAAACATGAGGTAGAGGAAGCCGTGTCTGTTGTTTCTTTAATTTCTAGTTCTGTAGGATATATTAATGGAACCCAATTAGAAAAGTTTGGATTGTTAATAGAAAGAACATCACCAATATATCTGAATGTGAAATTAAATAATCTGGCTTCTTTGATCATCTTGTTTTTGACTCGTGTCTGAAGGAACTCAGACTCATATGAAAATAAGAAGAGGTCGACAAGGAGAGGCGCACAGTTTATTCCCATGGGAATGCCTACAATTTGTTGAAAAAGTCTACCACCAAATTCAACAAATATATTGTTAATAAGAAACTCCAGCATACTGATCACTTGTTCCTCTGTGTAGCATGTGTTACCTTTTTGTTCACTATTAACAAAATATGCCGTATGGTATCCCAAAGTAATACATTTATAGCATACAAGTATGCTACCATTTTTATGTTGAAAAGAGTTGTGGATTATTTCTTTTAAACAATTTTTCAATTTCACAAAGGGAATGGTGGTAGTCTAGTTCAGTCTTTCAATCAACAATCCGACTAATTTACTGCAGTAAATTCAGTACCGTTAAGCCAATACACTTACAGTCAGTTATTATCTTTTTAGTCCATATAAAGGCTGTTCAGAAGTAGTATTCTACCTAGATGCAAACATGGACATGCTGAACTGACTGAAAAGCTACTGAACAGTACTGGGTTGACTTTAAACAATATGTCTTAATATCAAACAAAAATATCTGAGAAAAACCTATTTTAACTCCAGACAAGACTTAACGTTTAAGTTGAGACTGTTCAGATGATTGTGAAATCAAAGTTGTCCGGTATTAATAAAATCCATTGACTAGTGTATGATGAAATATGGATATAAAGAGAACAGATTTGAATAGATACGAAAATAACATTTAACATTTATAGCATACATCTTTTAAAAGGATTATTAACCCAATAGAATCTGTAGACTTTGTGACTGCATGCACACATATCAACGGACATGGAAAAAAGTATATTTACTTGTAGCCAAGTTGTTTACAAGCCACAATAGCATCAATATCGCCAAAGTCGTCATTGCAAACTGTGCCCCATGTTCGGTTAAAATATATCTCTAGTCTTCTTGAAATTAATCGTATATCACCTGAAATAATGAAAAATAATCGATAAGCAATTCAAAGTAATTTCATGATGAAAACAAATTGGTTTTTCATTTCCAAAACTGTGGCGAAATGTGCAAATTACCACCGAAAAGCCTGAAACTGACATTATACATTGAAAAAAAAATTGCAAAAAAGCGTTAATAAATAACTAACTGCACATTGCCAACACAATCAATTATTATTTTTTAAGAACGGGATCATAAAACATCAAGATAATTTTCTTTTAAAAAAAGGATGTAGAAAACAAGTAAAAAATAAAATAAACTTGTTCAGTAGGAGGAGGAAGATGATGGTATCTTAAATTTATCGCAAGACTCATTTGAAACAAAAATAGATTATATCCTAGTATGTACTACATTACCAACTAAGCAGTCAATTATGGATTAAATGATGAATATATAAAACAAAATTTTTTAAATCTAAGATACCATCACTAATACAGACGATATTTTATATTACAGCAATTGCCGTCGAAGGGTAATTTGCACACAAACAATTATATCAACCATTGCGACAACATTATTTTAATGCTAACGTTTCATACTAAAATTATTTTAAATGTTTGAATCAAAGCACTTGGTTTGCTTCTAGAGTGAATTTTAAAATATCTCCGTTCATAGGCCTTGAAAACCTTTAGTAGCAAATACTTTTTTATTTCGATTGGGAAAAAATCAGTTGTCATAACGATTGAATGTTTACCTTGTTTATTATCAGCCAATGAATAGCCTCATCAAAGCTGTTTAACAATAATACATACAAACATAAGGATAGTACATACCACGATTTACCTTGGTCTATCTGTTTCATTTCAAATATTTTTATGAATAGTAAACCATCGTTTTAGATTTTTTGCGGGCAAAATTATCAGAACTTAAATCACCGCTAGGAAATTATATGAATATTTGAAATGCGTGCGTAGCAACAAAAACAATTGGACATATAAAATACATACCATCTTTCTGTGCACATGTTAGAACGCTGGATCCAATAATGCACAAAGCAACTAGCAAAAACATGGCTCTTCAATAAAAGAGTTAAAATATAAAAATGAAGAAAGAAAAAAACGCATTAGAAATGCTGTCTAAATTTTCAGTAGTTTGTCTCTCGCAATTGACGTCTATGAATAGCAAAAATCCAAACACAGTTACATTCATTTAATGCAACACCATTCTGAATTGGTCCTTTGATCATTCCTGTATACAATACTAATAATCTTTTGTTATTGATTGATTGATTAGTGTTGAACGCCACTTTCAGAACTCTTGGCTCTTTTTTGGTGGTCAGTTTTTTTAACTGTAAGCATCTCCTGCCAATAAAAGGTGTTGTTGACATTTCATGAATTAAACTTTTAAATTTGTTTAAGTTATTTACATGTACATTCTACCTAGTACAGAGGTTCAGTCTTTTTGTGCTGACAGCATTTACAATATATTTTTTCCAAAATTCCCCGTTGATAAATTAAGAGAGTATAAAGAAACTCCCTAAGACAAAGATAACCGAAGATGAATTTATTTATTCCTTGTATGTCCCATTAGAATAATGAGTCAAAACTATTAAGGATATTTTCAAGTTCTTTTTGCCTGTTTCAGGTAAGAAAAACTGATTAAGATATATACATGTTTAATTATTAATTATTGACATGTAGTTGTAACGTTGACTTTCAGTCTTATCTCATCTTAGATATTGGTATGGATGATTTATATGCTTATTTTCGACTTTTGAGATCTTTCGTCTCTCATTTAGCTCTTCACAACTGTTCTTAGTCATAATTAACCTTTTTATATGGAACGTTTTTGGTTCTGTAAAGACAACACATCTTGTCCTTTCCAAACATTAGTTTCATTAGTTATCCTATTACCTATTTATAAGAAAAAACATTCTAAGTGTATTTGCTCTTTAAATGTGTTCTATATTTGAATTTTTATATATGCTTAAACTTCTTTAGTTTAATTAATAGACCAAAAGATTAAAACTACTGCAATAAGTAAATGATTTGAAATGTTTTGAAAGTATGAAAATTCTTATATGTATAAATGCTTTATTATGGAGTCAACAAGATGATTTCATACTTCCGAAATATGTCGAAAATATTTAAATACAGATATTTTTAAAATTCAGTTCAAGTTCTGTTGTAATTCAAATTTACTTCATATACACGTTAAATAAATGTTTTGCACTCTTTATAAGTTACTTTCAATCTTTTATTTATCTTTTGATCCAGAGTTTAAACTTCCGAATAACAGGAAAAAATTCTGAATATATATGAAATAAACATGAAATAAACATCTATATTCACCATTCATGCAAACTTTGTATATTCAGTAGAGTTTTGCTCATGCTCATCTTTAGATGACATAATGTGTTTCATTCGTCCTAAATGATGTCAAGTCTTTAAAATTTTAAATTATCAAAGTTGTTCAAAAAATACTATAAAAAGTTATAACACATTAATAAAACAAATCAGAAACTTTTAAGACTTCTTTACACCTTTACATCGCCATCGTATTTTTATCGCCCCCTTTTTTCAATGATAAATAGAACTTCCAAATCATCATAGGCTTTGTAACGACTTTTATAATGCTCGAGCAAGTATTTCGTATAAATAAATCATGTTGAAAATCATTTGTATTTGTGCCCCTACCATGGAAAATTCAAACTCCCTATAAGACATTAGATGTTCATATCGTCATAGTTATACAAACTACTTTACTTAGTATGATGTGCCAATAAGGTTGTGTTTTACATAAATGTTGTAAGAAAGGATTGTTTAAAACTTTTACTCGGCCATGGCATTCTTCTATAGACTGCGAATTTTCGTATCAATATAAATATTCAAATTATACTGTTTAATAATGTTCCAATAAGTATTTTATATGATGATGAAAATGAGAAAGATTTTTAACTCTTTCATTCATCCCCTTATCATGGAAAATTAACTCCTAAACAAAATCAGATATTCAAATCTTATCATGAATCAAACTACTGGATGTATTAATCATGCTCATATAAGTGGTTGGTATTTGATCAAATATGTTGTAAAGATTTTTGTACACTTTAACTAAGCCATTATATTTTATTCACACTGTTATGAAAAATTAAAGAACCTCTTCAAAAAACGACAGATGAACAAATCATCATAGTTATTTAAAAACTTAATGTAGTAATAAATCCCCGCTGATTCTGCCAAGCCCGTTCCCTTGGTTGTGGTTTCGCTAGGTAGTAGATAGAGACAGTTGAAATCTCTTTGATCCATTCATGCGCGTCACTTATTAGATGTATGAACGAGTAAATATTTGGTATGAATAAAACATAATTATTTTTTAACAATTTTACTCCGCCATTGTATGCTGATCCCCTACCTTTGATAATGTTTTCCTCCCTCCAACAGAAGTAACATGTTCAAATCCACAATAGTTAATCAAAAAACGTTCTAAATTAGACGGCAGATTTCAAATCATAACTGTTATTCAAACTTTAATAATGTACAAATAAATATTTGATAAAAATTTAACTTTTTCGATAATATTGTGTAACATTTTTACCGAGCCATGGTATTTTGAATCCCCTTCAATAGAGAATTGAACTCCCCTTTCATAAATGTCATATTTTAAATCATCACAGTTTTTCAAACTTCTTTACAGAGTGATACCGTTCCAATGAGTATCTAGTTAAAATAAAAACATGTTAGAAAAGATTTAACACTTTGACTTTATATACTAAGCTATGGTATTTTGATCTCCCTAGCATTTATCCATGGAAAAAAGTGTACCGAAATTACCGGACTCTTAGGTTAATTAAAAAAAAGTGGGAGTCCATAAAAACTGACAAAAATCAAACGTTAGACTTTATCAACCAACGGAACGAATGAAAAAAAAAATGTAATATTCCTGAATTGATCACTCTTCCCAACCCATTGTACATTTGACATTCTACTTGAATCAAATATAGGGGTCAATTTCTCACGGATCGTTCAAATTACAACGGGGAAAATTGGAGACTTTCACAATGTTTTTTTTTTTAATCCCATGGTCTCTTTTCTGGGTTTTCAGGATACCACATAACAGCGGGCTTAATGTTAAGTAGAGATAACAATCATTTGAAAGGTACATGTATATACTATAGTCTTATGTTTTATACATTCCATGCGAAAATATAAGAACAGTAAGTTCTCTCTTTGTTTACACGGAAAATTTAAACACAGCTTGTTTTTGGTTGTATTTTTTTTAAAAAATAAAATAAACTTGTTCAGTAGGAGGAGGAAGATGATGGTATCTTAAATTTATCGCAAGACTCATTTGAAACAAAAATAGATTATATTCTAGTATGTACTACATTACCAACTAAGCAGTCAATTATGGATTAAATGATGAATATATAAAACAAAATTTTTTAAATCTAAGATACCATCACTAATACAGACGATATTTTATATTACAGCAATTGCCGTCGAAGGGTAATTTGTACACAAACAATTATATCAACCATTGCGACAACATTATTTTAATGCTAACGTTTCATACTAAAATTATTTTAAATGTTTGAATCAAAGCACTTGGTTTGCTTCTAGAGTGAATTTTAAAATATCTCCGTTCATAGGCCTTGAAAACCTTTAGTAGCAAATACTTTTTTATTTCGATTGGGAAAAAATCAGTTGTCATAACGATTGAATGTTTACCTTGTTTATAATCAGCCAATGAATAGCCTCATCAAAGCTGTTTAACAATAATACATACAAACATAAGGATAGTACATACCACGATTTACCTTGGTCTATCTGTTTCATTTCAAATATTTTTATGAATAGTAAACCATCGTTTTAGATTTTTTGCGGGCAAAATTATCAGAACTTAAATCACCGCTAGGAAATTATATGAATATTTGAAATGCGTGCGTAGCAACAAAAACAATTGGACATATAAAATACATACCATCTTTCTGTGCACATGTTAGAACGCTGGATCCAATAATGCACAAAGCAACTAGCAAAAACATGGCTCTTCAATAAAAGAGTTAAAATATAAAAATGAAGAAAGAAAAAAACGCATTAGAAATGCTGTCTAAATTTTCAGTAGTTTGTCTCTCGCAATTGACGTCTATGAATAGCAAAAATCCAAACACAGTTACATTCATTTAATGCAACACCATTCTGAATTGGTCCTTTGATCATTCCTGTATACAATACTAATAATCTTTTGTTATTGATTGATTGATTAGTGTTGAACGCCACTTTCAGAACTCTTGGCTCTTTTTTGGTGGTCAGTTTTTTTAACTGTAAGCATCTCCTGCCAATAAAAGGTGTTGTTGACATTTCATGAATTAAACTTTTAAATTTGTTTAAGTTATTTACATGTACATTCTACCTAGTACAGAGGTTCAGTCTTTTTGTGCTGACAGCATTTACAATATATTTTTTCCAAAATTCCCCGTTGATAAATTAAGAGAGTATAAAGAAACTCCCTAAGACAAAGATAACCGAAGATGAATTTATTTATTCCTTGTATGTCCCATTAGAATAATGAGTCAAAACTATTAAGGATATTTTCAAGTTCTTTTTGCCTGTTTCAGGTAAGAAAAACTGATTAAGATATATACATGTTTAATTATTAATTATTGACATGTAGTTGTAACGTTGACTTTCAGTCTTATCTCATCTTAGATATTGGTATGGATGATTTATATGCTTATTTTCGACTTTTGAGATCTTTCGTCTCTCATTTAGCTCTTCACAACTGTTCTTAGTCATAATTAACCTTTTTATATGGAACGTTTTTGGTTCTGTAAAGACAACACATCTTGTCCTTTCCAAA